AAAAGCAGCTGTGACAGAGGCGTAGCGACCCTTCCCGGCGCCCGGGGACAAACTTTTCGATTTGCACCCCCCCCCCCCCTCAAGATTTCGATTGGCACCCCCCCCCCCCCCTCAAACTTTTGATTTATTTTTCCAACCCATTTTGCGCCCCCTAAGGTGGCGCCCGGGGACATATGTCCCCCCCGCCCCCTCGCTACGCTACTGAGCTGGGACTGTTATTACTACAAAAAGTCAGTGTGAACATAAATAAAAACTTGTAAAAATAAAACGTACCCTTTCACGTGTCTGAACTCAATTTATATAGGCCTACATATAAAGCAATGCATGTGTGTCTCTGTGTCTGTCTTTTATGCATTACTTCACCTTTGATCCGACCGCCATGATACTTTGGGAAGCTGTTGAGAATGTCTTAGGGTGGTTTTTGCGAAAAACAAATATTCAATGCCGCGGGGTTAAAAGAAAATCCCGGGGCAAATCGCACCATGTCTGTGTGCCGTTGGGCGCACCTGATTCAGTTTAGTCAACGACTATAATAATACTTCTAATCCATATTCTAACTCACTCTTTAAAATGAACGTATGCGCCATAGCGCTTACGGGATAAACCGGGGCGCCAAAAGTCGATTGCGGTTCGACACCGTTTATCCGGTCGCCATGAAAATTTGGAGAGTTGATTTGAACACTCCAGGGGAGGTTTCTTCCAAAAATTGTTTTTTTTTAATTTATTAGGGGCGGCGCCCCTGGAGGGTCGATCTTTCTTTATATACAGTATATAAAAAATTGATGTCGGATGCGGTTCGACGCTGTTCGTCCCATCGCCCCATCGCCATGAAACTTGGGAGAGTTAATTAGAACACTCCAGGGGAGGTTTCTGCAAAAATTGTTTATTAATTTCTTAAGGGCTGCGCCCCGGGATGGTGCGATTTTGTTTCTCAATATAGGGTATATAAAAAAATAGAGTCGGATGCGTTTCGACAAAGTTCATCCAAGTGCCATGAAACTTTGGGGAGTTGTTAAGAATACTTCTGGGAAAGTTTATACGAGAACAAATTCAATTTCGCACAGGCGGCGCCCCGGCATGGTAATAATTGGCGCCCCGAATTATCCCGTGAGCTCTGGTGCCTACGTTCGTTTTAAAGAGTGTGACGCAATATGGATTAGAAGAAGTATTATAGTAGTTCACTAAACTGAATCAGGCGCGTCCTACCGCGCTCTGTCATTGTGCGATTAGCCCCGGACAATCCTGTGACCTACTTTTAACCGGGGACGGGCACGCTAATAATTTCATACATATCTTCTATGTTTGTCTAAGCTTGTACTTATACGATTCATTCGCGCCCAAAGTAGGTGTTCAAATAGCTCGTTCATACGTCACCATAGCAGAATTTAATAAACCGGGAGTGATCTCCCCTAAACTTTCTCGAATGTTCTTATATAACTTGGAATATAGACATGATTTTTAATTACTTAAACATTTTTTAAAAATTCATAAAAAAACGTTTTAATAACAAGCTTTTATGTAATAATGGATACCTTTACTAATGTTAAGGAAGACACCCACGCTTTTCTTTATAGTTATTTAAATAGTAGTCTATAATTTATTTTCTACTTTTTAGTGCATTATTACATAAAAGCTTGTTATTAAAACGTTTTTTATGAATTTTTTTTTCAGTACTTTCCATGTTTTATTTACAATAGAGTTACATGACTAAAAACCATTGCGCGCCTTCTGAACGTGATGGCGCAGCCATTGAACGTGATGGCGCAGCTATTGAACGTGATGACGCGTGTGGTGTGATTGGATAGACATGCCTACTAATTCGGTCCAAATTTTAATTAATTCATAAAAAATTAATTAGGCATTCAATTAAGTCAAACTAAATTTCAGATTGCATTGTCTTCATGTCTTGACCCACGTGTCAAGTGTGAATCGTATCGGTCAACCAGAAGTGTCCGAATTTTCACTCCGGCGTTTAGATCGAGACTAACGACGGACAGAGGAAGTGAGTTAAATAAAAGCTTGTAAAAATAGAATAGAATCTCATAGAAAAAAGAATTGCGCACCAAGCGAACGCCAAAACAAAATGTGCATAATAGTGCGCAATATTATTAGTACTATATAAATTTACATGCGTTTTTTTTTGAGAAATCGGAAATAGCGTAAATTAGTATTTCCGGTAAACTGAAATTACTCAAAATTTGACAGAAGGTAGAGAATTAGATCTTTTACTTACATGTGAAATTTCATTTATCTATCTGAAATAGTACTCAAGTTATAGGCTTTTGAAAAATTCAAAGTAGAAAAAGTACCACTTCCGGTTATCGGAAATCACTCAAAAGTCAGACACTGGCCCCTGCCCACCCCACTCAGGGAAAAATTATATGGGGCACCTGCCAAACTGGAGACCACACTCCGGTTTGTTCACGAAGTTGGACTTGTTGTCTGAATCCTCCACTATATTCTCAAGAACGAAGAAGAAGAAGAAAGAACTCAAAAGTTGATCAGGATCTACGATTTTGATAAAATACTTATATATGAAATTTCATCAACCTAGCTGTAACGGTACTCAAGTTATCGTGTTACACACAGACAAACAGACACACAGACACACAGACATACGGACAAGATTGCAAAATCATGTTTTTCTGTATCAGTGATTACAATACTTTCTCTATACTCCGTGCATACGAAAAAGTAAAAATGACCATGCGAAGAGCTAGACGACTTAAAATGATGAAGCCAACGTCGTTATGTGGAGTCAAAAACATGTCAACCAAGGAGACAGGGAGATCACAACCTCCAATCTTACAGAAAATGAGATCATAGTCTCTAATGTTACAGACATTAAGATCACATCATCTAATGTTACAGACAATAAGATCACATCATCTAATGTTACAGACATTAAGATCACATCATCTAATGTTACAGACAATAAGATCACATCATCTAATGTTACAGACAATGAGATCATAGCCTCTAATGTTACAAACAATGAGATCATTGCCATTAATATCTCATATATTTTACCCGGGATCTTTTCCCGTGAGATCATTTGTCCTGAGATAATTTATCAGTGAGCTATTTTCTCTGAGATATTTAGTCTAAGATAATTTGCCCCAAGATAATTTGTCATGGAACTACTAGTCGTCCCGGCCAGGCCCTGTACGTGTTTATTAAGGAGCTTATACCCAGCATAGCCAAGTTCATGAAATATATTACTTTTCCGATAAAATGAGAAAATCACACATAACCCTTACTCTAACTTAAACACAAACAATACGTAATAAGCGTTTAAATTTTTATAAATTGTAAAATCTATTTGTCTCCGGGGGGGGGGGGGGGGGGGGGTGTTGGCACTTGATATCTTCGGGGGGGGGGGAGGGGGGGTAGGTCACTGGTAATAATATATGTTTTCTATATAAATTCCATTTCGTTCGAGGGGGCGGTAGACTTTCTTCGTGGGGCGGAGCCCCTACCCCCTCCCCCCGAAGAGATGCCTGGAAGAAACTCTGATTCATATCCTGATTAACACATGTTAACAATTGCCTTTTTACCTGTAACGTTGTTTAGTATACTAACTATGCTAGGTGAAGGTACGAATAGGATTTAATTCACGCGTAATATATGATGCCTAAACATTCCTAAACACGAGAAAAATGGCCCGTTGAGGAAGGATACAACGGTCGCTAGGTTGATAGTGCTGTCTCTTTTCTCTAAACTAAAACCAAAACCAAAATCACCACCCATACTTCAAATTTAAACAGAAACGAAAAATGACAATGAAAACGGATTTTTATCCAGAATCGGCATTTCAATCGCATTTAAGCATGATCAACGCGTAGTTATCGCGCATTTATGCTAAATATAGTCGTAGCTATACCCCTCTAAACCATGCACCTTATCTCAATCATGACAAAAGTCGAATTTAGAGTTTTTTTGTCAGTCAACTCTACTTGGGAGTATGGGGGCTCCGCCCCCCTCCGCCCAACACACACACCACAAAACATGTCTACCGTCCCATTCAAGGAACTATAATTATATACTTTTTCCCCTCCCAGAAAATTCCACCCCCGCCCACGAAAATTTGAAGTACACCCACCCCTCTCGAGGGAGGAAAATGTCTGAAAGAAACACTGGTCGCATTTGTTGATCATACAAACTAAAGGTAGAGCCTGGAAGAGCTGCATGAAAGAAACTGCACGCTAAACACTTTATAGATTAGAACATTTCAAGTTCCCCGCTCATGAGAGGAACAAGTCTGAAAGAAACACGCAAATCACTTTTATCATAGACACATTAATTGAGCGGTTATTTTGTTATAGAGTATCGATGACATTTCTTTTGAGTTGGGGGGGGGGGGGCGGCTTAGTCGTTCTTTCTCGAGCATGGTCCCCACCCCCACCCCCCTTCTACGCCAGGGGTTAATTTACCCAGGGGTATAGTTCTTCTTCGTTCTTAATTTTTAGTGTTGGAAGGAATCGAGTCTTATCTGCCAAAGGGTTTGAATTTGAGATCTCTCTTTTTCGAATTTATCAAACATGAGCTTTTTTTTTTTTGCCGACTCGACCACGCCTCCATCACAATTTAGGATACGTGTCCACTGGTTATGCGCCATTGAGGCCATTGACTCCGATTTAAGCCTGCTTTTCTTTTTTGGATTTGGTTTCATAGCCTTTGTCCAACCAAGAACAAACTACAAGGCAGCAGTTGTTTGATTTTTGGAGTTGTCTCTCCTAATCCGCCCGAGGGTTCGAACTCGACACTTTTCGGTATAGCAACCATGAGCTTTACCGACTCGACCACGCCGACAATATATGACAATGGTTAAAATTTAATAGGTGCGATATGCTAGACCACAGACAAATATATGACAGGTGTTAATTTATCCAGGTGTGATGTCATATGACGGGATTAATTTTCTTGAATGTAATGTCAAGACACAAAGACAATTACAAGCTGTGAAAAGAATTCAACAAAAAATGAAACAAAAACCGAAATTCAAAAGCATTATTATTCAACGATTGGGAAGAATTTAATCAAAGTTTTTTTTTCCAACAGGCAGCCTGAAATTATCATCTCCACAAAACTTGGTTCGCACAGAACGTTAACTTTTCTTGCAGGAAATGCTTGCCATTTTCCCAATAACGTTGCACACACAGTTCTTGTACTTGACACCTTTGATTTCGTTTTTGAATTTTTCTCCGCCCTTCCAACATTTTCCTGTGCTGTCCTTGCAACCTGTGACAATTTTAAAAATTACATTTGATCTCAACACAACAGGATCAGTTTGCCGGACTGATCTTTTTTCTTATTGATTATTGCATTATTTCATTTAATTGTTAATAATTGATTTACAATCTAATTAGATTTAAATAAAGTATATGTGCGTTGCCATCAAAAGGTCTTGGAGAAGTTGCTACATTAAAATATGTGAGTTGATTGGCTAATTAGATGATTAGAAATTCATCCAACCATCCACCCCACCATCCAACCATCCACCCCACCATCCAACCATCCACCCCACCATCCAACCATCCACCCAACCAGTCATGCAGCCAATTATCCACCTAACCATCCAACCACCCAACCATCCAACCATCCAACCAACCGTTCATGCCAGTGGCGGAACTAGAAAAAATGGGCCACCCCGCAAAAAAAAAATTGTAAGCCCCCCCCCCCCACCACCGCCCATATAAATATATAGGCCTACATACTACTCAAACACAAAATACGAACATAGGATACTTATTGCTGGCCTGTTCGTGTTATGAGAAATACGTGTCTTTTTTTATTAAAACAAATTACATCATGTCATGTGTGTAAGTGCACTAGTCTGTTTTGTGGAAATCAGTATTTTAAATAAATTTATTATCTCTGCCGTAACATCTCTATCCCAGGGGTCGGCAACCTGCGGCTCGCGAGCCGCATGCGGCTCTTTTGATATCAAGATGCGGCTCTCCAGCTCCTTGCGCAAATACTAATAATCTTAATATAAAAATAAAATATTTGAAATAAAAAATGTTAGTGGCTCTTTAAAACCAGGGAAATTTTGAAAATTGTAACTTTTGGCTCTTCTGCTTCAAAAGGTTGCCGACCCCCTAGCTATACCCATTTCGTTCAAAAGAATATAAAACATGAAAGCTTTCTGTAAATAATGGTGTCTCGTGTCATGTTTATTATTATTATTTTTTTTTGTATTTATTTTATTAATTTTTAATACATTTTCTTTTTATACAGTGTCATTCTTTAGTAAGTAATTTATAAACAAATAACAATAAAGAGAAGTAATTGCTTTTTAATCTGTTTAGTATAAATCTATTAAAAAGATGCTTATGCGCATCACTATTTGACTATTTAAAAAAGGGAAATAAGTCATGGAAGTGGTTTGAACGTTTGCTTATCTTTGATAAGTTTGATTGTAGGAGAAAGAGGACTCAGCTTTCACAGTGGTTTAAAAACGAAGGACAAATTAGCGTGGGGTGGTGTCTATAGAATAAAGATAATCCAACCGCAGCTACAGTAATCTTTTTTACAAAACAAACATTAAGTCTAAAATGCAAGAATTTTTTTTTTTAAACTACAACAAATTTTTGTATGGTCGGCCGTGGGCCCCTAAATGGCGTGCCCCCCCCCCCCCGCATTGCGGGGTCTGGCGGCACTGTAGTTCCGCCCCTGGTTCATGCAGCCAATCATCCACCTAACCATCCAACCATCCAACCAGCCAACCATCCAACCAACCGTTCATGCAGCCAATCATCCACCTAACCACCCAACCATCCAACCAACCAACCATCTAACCACCCAACCAACCGTTCCTGCAGCCAATTATCCACCTAACCATCCAACCACCCAACCATCCAATCAGCCAACCACCCAACCATCCAACCAGCCAACCATCCAACCAACCGTTCCTGCAGCCAATTATCCACCTAACCCTTCATCCAGACAACCATCCAACCAACCAACCATCCAACCACCCAACCAACCGTTGCTGCAGCCAATTATCCACCTAAACATCCAACCACCTAACCATCCAACCAGCCAACCATCCAACCAACCAACCATCTAACCACCCAACCAACCGTTCCTGCAGCCAATTATCCACCTAACCATCCAACCACCCAACCATCCAATCAGCCAACCACCCAACCATCCAACCAGCCAACCATCCAACCAACCGTTCCTGCAGCCAATTATCCACCTAACCCTTCATCCAGACAACCATCCAACCAACCAACCATCCAACCACCCAACCAACCGTTGCTGCAGCCAATTATCCACCTAAACATCCAACCACCTAACCATCCAACCAGCCAACCATCCAACCAACCAACCATCTAACCACCCAACCAACCGTTCCTGCAGCCAATTATCCACCTAACCATCCAACCACCCAACCATCCAATCAGCCAACCACCCAACCATCCAACCAGCCAACCATCCAACCAACCGTTCCTGCAGCCAGTTATCCACCTAACCCTTCATCCAGACAACCGTCCACCCAATAATCCACCCATCCACCTTACGATCCATCCACATAACCACCCAGCAACTCCATGAAGAAGGTATGCCTTAACATGCAAGCGATTGTAAAAGTTAAAAACGTACGTATGCTCTGAACTTTGACAGAAAAATACGTGGCGTCGCCTTTCTCCGATTTGACACAACTGTACGAGACACAATCTTTTTCAAACTTGCTGTTTACTTTGTAGCATTTGTCCTGGTGCTCACAGCCTGGAAGTTCCCACGATAAAAATGTCAGGTATTAAAGGCTCGTGAAGACATTATGTGCAGTACTTACCATTCTTTCTTGTCTTAGGTTTTATTTGCTACAGAGTATTCAGTATCACAAATAAAAATACACACATGATCTTTTTTTTTGTTGGTTTACATACCGCTCTAGTCCGGAACGGTGAAGAACATAAGTTTATTAGAACATTTATATTGTACATCTCTGCTTTGGTACTTGATATTACTCTATAATTTGACCCTAACACAAAATATGAAAGTTATGAATAGAAAAGAATTTGGATGCCACGAACCCTCTTGATATTACTCTATAATTTGACCCTAACACAAAATATGAAAGTTATGAATAGAAAAGAATTTGGATGCCACGAACCCTCTTCCTCGATGCTGACATCACCGTCTTCACACTTGTACTTGATACACTTGGATTCCTTTGTCGTGAAGATGTCCCCGTTCTTGTGTTTCTTGCCATTCACCTCGCAGTCCTCATCTTCTCTGCTCTCTTCTGATGGATCGTAATCACTGTCATAGTCACTGCCTTTATTACTGTCTTCTTCAGTTTCTTCATTACTGTCTTCTTCAGTTTCTTCATTACTGTCTTCTTCAGTTTCTTGATTACTGTCTTCTTCAGTTTCTTGATTACTGTCTTCTTCAGTTTCTTCATTACTGTCTTCTTCAGTTTCTTCTTTTCTGCCCTTTTTACTTTCTTGTTTTTTGTCCTTTGTACTTTCTTTTTTGCTGTACTTTTTACTTTCTTTATGATTGCCCTTTTTACTTACATCATCAAAATCATCATCCTCATCATCATCATCATCATCATCATAACTCGCATTGTCTGAATCATCATCAACAATACGAGCAACAGCTTGAGCCAGTAAACAGGCGAAGACACCTAGCACAACAACTTTAGATACCTGTAGAGGAAGTAGAGTATAGCTTTATGCAAAACTCAACTGAATCAAGGTTCAGTTTATTACAGGCAGACAAACTAAGGATAAAAATTACTTGCTAATATCAACTTGACATTAAATTATAAACATAATATTTCCAAATTTCAACATTTGAGTATAATGAATAGATGCCGAACCATTTTCTCCGACAGAACTTTAGCCACTTGAGAAATGAGCTGATAGCGAGTTCAGCTACGTGTCGTTGCTTGATATTTAAATGATCCTAAAACATGTGTCATTGGCTGATAGGTCAATGGTCGGACGACACGCAGTGCCTGGCGATTGGCTAACAGCTGTTTCCTGTTTTCCTGCTGAACCGTTTGACATTCACGTTAATTGGATAAATGGAATTACATTAGTTTACATTACAACAGCTATAGCTAAAACACAAAGTAAGAAGAATTAACTCTAGCTGTTGGAAGTCCGACAGAATACACTGCTAGGATAAATCTTATGACGTCACACTAACACAAACTTAATGAGACGACGTCATTCTCACAAAACTAAACCACACCTCAATAAAACTAAACCACACCTCAATAAAACTAAACCACACCTCAACAAAACTAAACCACACCTCAACAAAACTAAACCACACCTTAACAAAACTAAACCACACCTCAATAAAACTAAACCACACCTCAATAAAACTAAACCACACCTCAACAAAACTAAACCACACCTCAACAAAACTAAACCACACCTCAACAAAACTAAACCACACCTCAATAAAACTAAACCACACCTCAACAAAACTAAACCACACCTCAATAAAACTAAACCACACCTCAATAAAACTAAACCACACCTCAATAAAACTAAACCACACCTCAATAAAACTAAACCACACCACAATAAAACGAAACCACACCTCAATAAAACTAAACCACACCTCAATAAAACTAAACCACACCACAATAAAACTAAACCACACCTCAATAAAACTAAACAAAACCTCAATAAAACTAAACCACACCTCAATAAAACTAAACCACACCACAATAAAACTAAACCACACCACAATAAAACTAAACCACACCACAATAAAACTAAACTACACCACACTGCTTCACACAGACCTAGACCTAGACCTAGACTTAGACCTAGACCTAGACCTAGACCTAGACCTAGACCTAGACCTAGACCTAGACCTAGACCTAGACCTAGACCGAGACCTAGACCTAGACCTAGACCTAGACCTAGACCTAGACCTAGACCTAGACCTAGACCTAGACCTAGACCTAGACCTAGACCTAGACCTAGACCTAGACCTAGACCTAGACCTAGACCTAGACCTAGACCTAGACCTAGACCTAGACCTAGACCTAGACCTAGACCTAGACCTAGACCTAGACCTAGACCTAGACCTAGACCTAGACCTAGACCTAGACCTAGACCTAGACCTAGACCTAGACCTAGACCTAGACCTAGACCTAGACCTAGACCTAGACCTAGACCTAGACCTAGACCTAGACCTAGACCTAGACCTAGACCTAGACCTAGACCTAGACCTAGACCTAGACTTAGACCTAGACTAAAACCATAAAATACAGATAAATTGGTTTTTAATGTGTATTTACAGTGAAAATCAGCCGACTTCACTTACTGAGTGTAAACGCTAAACTTTTTGGTCACTTTAATTTTCTTACTCGTTACACGCTTGAAGCTTATCCCTAAACTTAACTTAACTGACCATAATCGACCTTAAATGCTACTAAAAAATTTCGTTACTCTCTTCATTTTTTTTGGTTTCCTTTCTCTTCACTTGTCTTTCCTCCCCCAGACACAGGACCTTTCTAAAATAATTATAAAAAAATGGTTTTCTCCCTCCATCCCGCCGTCCCTCCCTCCATCCCTCCCGCCGTCCCTCCCGCCGTTCACTCCCTCCCCCTCCCTCACGCCCAGCATGCTGCGGAGTTAAGCAATGTCATTAATTTGCTGTCAATTTGCTGTTAATTTTTTCGTAGTGTTTCTTTTCTACGAACTGTCCATCCCGCTAATCCCGCTAATCTCTCGAATCCGTTTCAAATTATTCTCCTATTTCAAAGCAGACCAATCCTCGTTTGACGGCTCGAAACTTATACAATCTCGTATGTTATAGCACTCGATGTTGCACTCTCGTATGTTAAGGCACTCGATGTTGCACTGTACACTTTTCTAGAAACCTTGTACTACTGAATCAGCAACCACTTCTCATATGTAGAAGTTAGCCATACTTTACTAGCCTATACCACAGTAAACTATTTCAACCATTTCTCATCTGTAGAAGGTAGCCATACTTTACTAGCCTATACTACAGTAAACTATTTCAACCACTTCTCATCTGTAGAAGGTAGCCATACTATACTAGCCTATACCACAGTAAACTATTTCAACCACTTCTCATCTGTAGAAGGTAGCCATACTTTACTAGCCTATACCACAGTAAACTATTTCAACCACTTCTCATCTGTAGAAGGTAGCCATACTTTACTAGCCTATACCACAGTAAACTATTTCAACCACTTCTCATCTGTAGAAGGTAGCCATACTTTACTAGCCTATACCACAGTAAACTATTTCAACCACTTCTCATCTGTAGAAGATAGCCATACTTTACTAGCCTATACCACAGTAAACTATTTCAACCACTTCTCATCTGTAGAAGGTAGCCATACTTTACTAGCCTATACTACAGTAAACTATTTCAACCACTTCTCATCTGTAGAAGGTAGCCATACTTTACTAGCCTATACCACAGTAAACTATTTCAACCACTTCTCATCTGTAGAAGGTAGCCATACTTTACTAGCCTATACCACAGTAAACTATTTCAACCACTTCTCATCTGTAGAAGGTAGCCATACTTTACTAGCCTATACCACAGTAAACTATTTCAACCACTTCTCATCTGTAGAAGGTAGCCATACTTTACTAGCCTATACCACAGTAAACTATTTCAACCACTTCTCATCTGTAGAAGGTAGCCATACTTTACTAGCCTATACCACAGTAAACTATTTCAACCACTTCTCATCTGTAGAAGATAGCCATACTTTACTAGCCTATACCACAGTAAACTATTTCAACCAGTTCTCATCTGTAGAAGGTAGCCATACTTTACTAGCCTATACCACAGTAAACTATTTCAACCACTTCTCATCTGTAGAAGGTAGCCATACTTTACTAGCCTATACCACAGTAAACTATTTCAACCACTTCTCATCTGTAGAAGATAGCCATACTTTACTAGCCTATACCACAGTAAACTATTTCAACCAGTTCTCATCTGTAGAAGATAGCCATACTTTACTAGCACATACCACATTTAGCAACACACACATCAAACTACATGACATAAGTCAGTGTAGGACGACCATACATAAAGTTATATAGATTTTCAAACTAAAGGACTAAACTATGAATGATTGAAACATTGTTTATTTGAACTGAGAAACCATGGCCAGTCAATGATGCACGTCGCCCGTCGGATGGGTCCCACGATGGGGTGCCGGGGTCCCAAGATGGGGTGCTGGGGTGCCGGGGCGTCATCAGGCCTTGCAGGAGATGCTGGCCATATAGCCCATGATGTTACAGTTGCAGTTGTTGTACTGGCGCCCGTTGATAAAGGAGGAAAATTTATCCCCGTGTTCACGGCATCGTCCTTTGCTATCCTTACACCCTGGGGATATAATGGACAGGACCTTTTAGACACACACGGGCAGGACATTTTTTATACTAACACGGGCAGGACATTTTTTATACAAACAAAAACAGGACATTTTTATACAAACAAAAACAGGACATTTTTAATACAAACACGGGCAGGACATTTTGTTTACACTAACATGGACAGGACGTTCTTATACAAGCACTGGCTCGACACTGGCAGGACATTCTATAGGACATAACCTGGACACCAGACTGCCAAATAAAAGCTTACGGATTTTCTGCGGCTTGATGGAGTAGAGTGTTGTATCTTCCTTCCTGGTCTTGATGCAGGTGTATGTGGCACAGTCGATGTCGAACACCGAATTCACTGGGAAGCATTCGTTTTTAAAATCACAAGCTGCAAACATAGGAAGAAATTGTCGTTTTTAAAATCACAAGCTGCAAACATAGGAAGAATAAATGGTCGTTTTTAAAATCACAAGCTGCAAACATAGAAAGAAATGGTCGTTTTTAAAATCATAAGCTTCAAACATAGGAAAAAAGTTCGTTTTCACAAGCTTTTATTTATCATGTTTATTTGTTGCGCAATTACTATTAGTCGTGCAGCTCTATTGTAAATAAAAAATGTTAAGTACTGACACAATTGCATTAAAAACATTTAAATGGTACACTATTATTAAAATAACTTTTTAAAAAAAGGGTCTGTTCCTATATATTAGTAAAGGTATCGAATAGATATATATATATATATATATATATATATATATATATATATATATATATATATATATATATATATATATATATATATATATATATATAAATATATTGACCCACGCTGGAAACGCTGACCACCCCAACACTGACCACCCCTACACTGACCACCCCTACACTGACCACCCCCTACACTGACCACCCCCTACACTGGGCACCCCTACACTGACCACCCCTACACTGACCACCCCATCACTGACCACCCCTACACTGACCACCCCCTACACTGACCACCCCTACACTGACCACCCCCTACACTGACCACCCCCTACACTGGCCACCCCTACACTGACCACCCCTACACTGACCACCCCATCACTGACCACCCCTACACTGACCACCCCTACACTGACCACCCCCTACACTGACCACCCCCTACACTGGCCACCCCTACACTGACCACCCCTACACTGACCACCCCATCACTGACCACCCCTACACTGACCACCCCTACACTGACCACCCCATCACTGACCACCCCTACACTGACCACCCCCTACACTGACCACCCCCTACACTGACCACCCCCTACACTGACCAACCCCAGCACCAACCACCCCCTACACTGACCACTCCCTACACTGACCACCCCTACACTGACCACCCCCTACACTGACCACCCCTACACTGACCACCCCCTACACTGACCACCCCCTACACTGACCACCCCCTACACTGACCACCCCTACACTGACCACCCCCTACACTGACCACCCCCTACACTGACCACCCCCTACACTGACCACCCCTACACTGACCACCCCCTACACTGACCACCCCTACACTGACCACCCCATCACTGACCACCCCTACTCTGACCATCCCCCACCCCCCCACCCCCCACTGACCAACCCTACACTGACCACCTCCTACACTGACCACCCCTACACTGACCACCCCTACACTGACCACCCCTACACTGACCACCCCTACACTGACCACCCCTACACTGACCACCCCAACACTGACCACCCCTACACTGACCACCCCTACACTGACCACCCCTACACTGACCACCCCATCACTGACCACCCCTACACTGACCACCCCATCACTGACCACCCCTACTCTGACCATCCCCCACCCCCCCCCCCCCCACTGACCAACCCTACACTGACCACCTCCTACACTGACCACCCCTACACTGACCACCCCTACACTGACCACCCCCTACACTGACCACCCCTACACTGACCACCCCCTACACTGACCACCCCTACACTGACCACCCCCTACACTGACCACCCCTACACTGACCACCCCTACACTGACCACCCCTACACTGACCACCCCTACACTGACCACCCCCTACACTGACCACCCCCTACACTGACCACCCCTACACTGACCCCCCCCCTACACTGATCACCCCTACACTGGCCACCCCAATACTTACCATCCTTGTAAATGACAACGTTGCCGACACTACACAGGTATTGAATGCACCTAGTGGCACCCTTCAGTCTGAACACGTCGCCATGATCGTAGACCACACCGTCCACCTCACAGGGACTTTCTTCTGGACACACCAACAACAACATTTTGTTAGCTAGTGCTTTTTCTCTTCTAGCTAGTATCATGTTTTACTTGTTCTAGCTAGTTGTATGCTCTCTGTGTTCTAGCTAGTATCATGTACACACCGACAACAACATTCTGTTAGCTAGTGCTTTTCTCTTCTAGCTAGTATCATGTTTTACTTGTTCTAGCTAGTTGTATGTTCTCTGTGTTCTAGCTAGTATCATGTTCTCTGTGTTCTAGCTAGTATCATGTACACACCAACAACAACATTTTGTTAGCTAGTGCTTTTTCTCTTCTAGCTAGTATCATGTTTTACTTGTTCTAGCTAGTTGTATGTTCTCTGTGTTCTAGCTAGTATCATGTTCTCTGTGTTCTAGCTAGTATCATGTTCTGTGTGTTCCGACTAGTTTCATGTTCTACTTGTTCTAGCTAGTATCATGTTCTGTGTGTTCTAGATAGTATCAAATAGGGTGTTCTATATAGAATCATCTTCTGTCTGTATGTTCTAGTTAGTATCATGTTCTGTGTTATCTAGCTAGTATCATGCCCTGTTATTTTTAGTTGTGTTTAGTTAGTATCATTTTCTGTCTGTATGTTCTAGCAATATCGTGTTCTCTGTATTCTAGCTAGTATCAAGAAGTGTGTTCTAGATAGAATCATTTTCTGTGTGTTTTAGAATGTATCGTGTTTTTATGTTCTAGTATCAGTATCATATTCTCTGTGTTTTAGCTAGTACCCAGTTCTCTTTGTTATAGCTAGTATAAGGTTCTGTGTGTATCTTAGTATCATGTGCGGTCTGTTCTGTTTTAGATACAGCTGTATGGGACTGAGATAAAGCTGTACGGGACTGAGATAAAGCTGTACGGGACTGAGATAAAGCTGTATGGGACTGAGATAAAGCTGTATGGGACTGAGATACAGGCTGTACGGGACTGAGATAAAGCTGTATGGGACTGAGATAAAGCTGTATGGGACTGAGATAAAGCTGTATGGGACTGAGATAAAGCTGTATGGGACTGAGATAAAGCTGTATGGGACTGAGATAAAGCTGTATGGGACTGAGATAAAGCTGTATGGGACTGAGATAAAGCTGTATGGGACTGAGATAAAGCTGTATGGGACTGAGATACAGCTGTATGGGACTGAGATAAAGCTGTATGGAACTGAGATAAAGCTGTATGGGACTGAGATAAAGCTGTATGGAACTGAGATAAAGCTGTATGGGACTGAGATAAAGCTGTATGGGACTGAGATAAAGCTGTATGGGACTGAGATAAAGCTGTATGGGACTGAGATACAGCTGTATGGGACTGGGATAAAGCTGTATGGGACTGAGATAAAGCTGTATGGGACTGGGATAAAGCTGTATGGGACTGAGATAAAGCTGTATGGGACTGAGATAAAGCTGTATGGGACTGAGATAAAGCTGTATGGGACTGAGATAAAGCTGTATGGGACTGAAATAAAGCTGTATGGGACTGAAATAAAGCTGTATATGAATGAAATACAGGCTGGGTACGTGGGCTCTTGTTATTATTACATTATTAGCCTGCATTTTTAAATCTTAGTTTAGTTTGAAGTAGTTTAGTTTCGTTTTTTGTGTGTATTTGGTTTCATATTTGTCCCAAAAAAACATGATTAGATCTTTTAAAATATATACATTTAAAATTAGGAATGATTAACTCTGGATTAGATAGAAATGCAATGGAGGTAGAATAGATTGCCCAGTTCCTCTTTAATTAAATTTGTAGGTTGTGTGTAGCTCAAGTAAGATGATTGCTTTAAGGGCCAATATATTGAACCCAGTGAAGAACGGATGCAACGGTTGCTCACTTGATTACAACAGTAGAAAAGTAAGTTTACCTTGTTCTTCACTGGCAAGTTCGTCTTCGTAATCGTAATCGGCAGCAACTGGAGCCAGCAGACACGCTACTACAACGACCACAAACAACTTTGAGACCTGTAGAGGAAGTAGAGTCGATCTTCTGTTTAAACCAGAACAATATATTTCAAGCCGAGGTTAAAACTACTTTACAAATAAGTTTAAGACAACTTCTTTGACCATTTTACAACATCTTAAATTAAGTTTGATCTTAAGAAATAGATGTCGAACCATTTTGTCTATAGAGTTTCCGCCGCTAAAGAAATGTGTTGACGTTGGCACGTTCAGATACGTGTCATTGATTAATTTGTAAATGGTCAGGTGACACGTTTCATTGGCTGACACTTAACGACAGATCGACACGTGGGGATGTAGCACTGGCCAGCAGATGTCAGAGGTGTAGCAGACGAGAGGTGGTCAGACGAGAGGTGGTCAGACGAGAGGTGTAGCAGACGAGAGGTGGTCAGGCGAGAGGTGTAGCAGACGAGAGGTGTAGCAGACGAGAGGTGTAGCAGACGAGAGGTGGTCAGACGAGAGGTGGTCAGACGAGAGGTGGTCAGAAGAGAGGTGTAGCAGACGAGAGGTGTAGCAGACGAGAGGTGGTCAGACGAGAGGTGTAGCAGACGAGAGGTGGTCAGACGAGAGGTGTAGCAGACGAGAGGTGGTCAGACGAGAGGTGTAGCAGACGAGAGGTGTAGCAGACGAGAGGTGTAGCAGACGAGAGGTGGTCAGACGAGAGGTGTAGCAGACGAGAGGTGGTCAGACGAGAGGTGTAGCAGACGAGAGGTGGTCAGACGAGAGGTGGTCAGACGAGAGGTGGTCAGACGAGAGGTGGTCAGACGAGAGGTGTAGCAGACGAGAGGTGGTCAGACGAGAGGTGGTCAGACGAGAGGTGTAGCAGACGAGAGGTGTAGCAGACGAGAGGTGGTCAGACGAGAGGTGGTCAAACGAGAGGTGTAGCACACGAGAGGTGGTCAGACGAGAGGTGGTCAGACGAGAGGTGGTCAGACGAGAGGTGTAGCAGACGAGAGGTGGTCAGACGAGAGGTGGTCAGACGAGTAGTGGTCAGACGAGAGGAAGTCAGACGAGAGGTGTAGCAGACGAGAGGTGGTCAGACGAGAGGTGGTCAGAAGAGAGGTGTAGCAGACGAGAGGTGGTCAGACGAGAGGTGGTCAAACGAGAGGTGTAGCACACGAGAGGTGGTCAGACGAGAGGTGGTCAGACGAGAGGTGGTCAGACGAGAGGTGTAGCAGACGAGAGGTGGTCAGACGAGAGGTGGTCAGACGAGTAGTGGTCAGACGAGAGGAAGTCAGACGAGAGGTGTAGCAGACGAGAGGAAGTCAGACGAGAGGAAGCCAGACGAGAGGAAGTCAGACGAGGGGTGGTCAGACGAGAGGTGGTCAGACGAGTAGTGGTCAGACGAGTGGTGTAGCAGACGAGAGGTGGTCAGACGAGAGGTGGTCAGACGAGAGGTGGTCAGACGAGAGGTGTAGCAGACGAGAGGTGGTCAGACGAGAGGTGGTCAGACGAGAGGTGTAGCAGACGAGAGGTTGTCAGACGAGAGGTGGTCAGACGAGAGGTGGTCAGACGAGAGGTGGTCAGACGAGAGGTGGTCAGACGAGAGGTGTAGCAGACGAGAGGTGGTCAGACGAGAGGTGGTCAGACGAGAGGTGGTCAGACGAGAGGTGGTCAGACGAGAGGTGTAGCAGACGAGAGGTGGTCAGACGAGAGGTGGTCAGACGAGAGGTGGTCAGAGGAGAGGTGGTCAGACGAGAGGTTTAGCAGACGAGAGGTGTAGCAGACGAGAGGTGTAGCAGACGAGAGGTGGTCAGACGAGAGGTGGTCAGACGAGAGGTGGTCAGACGAGAGGTGGTCAGACGAGAGGTTTAGCAGACGAGAGGTGTAGCAGACGAGAGGTGTAGCAGACGAGAGGTGGTCAGACGAGAGGTGGTCAGACGAGAGGTGTAGCAGACGAGAGGTGTAGCAGACGAGAGGTGGTCAGACGAGAGGTGGTCAGACGAGAGGTGGTCAGATGAGAGGTGTAGCAGACGAGAGGTGGTCAGACGAGAGGTGTAGCAGACGAGAGGTGGTCAGACGAGAGGAGGTCAGACGAGAGGTGGTCAGACGAGAGGTGTAGCAGACGAGAGGTGTAGCAGACGAGAGGTGTAGCAGACGAGAGGTGTAGCAGACGAGAGGTGGTCAGACGAGAGGTGTAGCAGACGAGAGGTGGTCAGACGAGAGGTGGTCAGACGAGAGGTGTAGCAGACGAGAGGTGTAGCAGACGAGAGGTGTAGCAGACGAGAGGTGTAGCAGACGAGAGGTGGTCAGACGAGAGGTGTAGCAGACGAGAGGTGGTCAGACGAGCGGTGGTCAGACGAGAGGTGTAGCAGACGAGAGGTGGTCAGGCGAGAGGTGTAGCAGACGAGAGGTGGTCAGACGAGAGGTGGTCAGACGAGAGGTGTAGCAGACGAGAGGTGGTCAGACGAGCGGTGGTCAGACGAGAGGTGTAGCAGACGAGAGGTGGTCAGACGAGAGGTGGTCAGACGAGAGGTGGTCAGACGAGAGGTGGTCAGACGAGAGGTGGTCAGACGAGAGGTGGTCAGACGAGAGGTGGTCAGACGAGAGGTGGTCAGACGAGAGGTGTAGCAGACGAGAGGTGGTCAGACGAGAGGTGTAGCAGACGAGAGGTGGTCAGACGAGAGGTGTAGCAGACGAGAGGTGGTCAGACGAGAGGTGGTCAGACGAGAGGTGTAGCAGACGAGAGGTGTAGCAGACGAGAGGTGTAGCAGACGAGAGGTGTAGCAGACGAGAGGTGGTCAGACGAGAGGTGGTCAGACGAGAGGTGGTCAGACGAGAGGAAGTCAGACGAGAGGAAGTCAGACGAGAGGTGGTCAGACGAGAGGTGGTCAAACGAGAGGTGTAGCACACGAGAGGTGGTCAGACGAGAGGTGGTCAGACGAGAGGTGGTCAGACGAGAGGTGGTCAGACGAGAGGTGGTCAGACGAGAGGTGGTCAGACGAGAGGTGTAGCAGACGAGAGGTGTAGCAGACGAGAGGTGGTCAGACGAGAGGTGGTCAGACGAGAGGTGGTCAGACGAGAGGTGGTCAGACGAGAGGTTTAGCAGACGAGAGGTGTAGCAGACGAGAGGTGTAGCAGACGAGAGGTGGTCAGACGAGAGGTGGTCAGACGAGAGGTGTAGCAGACGAGAGGTGTAGCAGACGAGAGGTGGTCAGACGAGAGGTGGTCAGACGAGAGGTGGTCAGATGAGAGGTGTAGCAGACGAGAGGTGGTCAGACGAGAGGTGTAGCAGACGAGAGGTGGTCAGACGAGAGGAGGTCAGACGAGAGGTGGTCAGACGAGAGGTGTAGCAGACGAGAGGTGTAGCAGACGAGAGGTGTAGCAGACGAGAGGTGTAGCAGACGAGAGGTGGTCAGACGAGAGGTGTAGCAGACGAGAGGTGGTCAGACGAGAGGTGGTCAGACGAGAGGTGTAGCAGACGAGAGGTGTAGCAGACGAGAGGTGTAGCAGACGAGAGGTGTAGCAGACGAGAGGTGGTCAGACGAGAGGTGTAGCAGACGAGAGGTGGTCAGACGAGCGGTGGTCAGACGAGAGGTGTAGCAGACGAGAGGTGGTCAGGCGAGAGGTGTAGCAGACGAGAGGTGGTCAGACGAGAGGTGGTCAGACGAGAGGTGTAGCAGACGAGAGGTGGTCAGACGAGCGGTGGTCAGACGAGAGGTGTAGCAGACGAGAGGTGGTCAGACGAGAGGTGGTCAGACGAGAGGTGGTCAGACGAGAGGTGGTCAGACGAGAGGTGGTCAGACGAGAGGTGGTCAGACGAGAGGTGGTCAGACGAGAGGTGGTCAGACGAGAGGTGGTCAGACGAGAGGTGGTCAGACGAGAGGTGGTCAGACGAGAGGTGTAGCAGACGAGAGGTGGTCAGACGAGAGGTGTAGCAGACGAGAGGTGGTCAGACGAGAGGTTTAGCAGACGAGAGGTGGTCAGACGAGAGGTGGTCAGACGAGAGGTGTAGCAGACGAGAGGTGTAGCAGACGAGAAGTGTAGCAGACGAGAGGTGTAGCAGACGAGAGGTGGTCAGACGAGAGGTGGTCAGACGAGAGGTGGTCAGACGAGAGGAAGTCAGACGAGAGGAAGTCAGACGAGAGGTGTAGCAGACGAGAGGTGGTCAGACGAGAGGTGGTCAGACGAGAGGTGGTCAGACGAGAGGTGTAGCAGACGAGAGGTGGTCAGACAGCTGTGGCCAGACTCAGCAAGAGGCATTGACCAATCACATCATCGATGGACCAATCACATCATCGATGGACCTATCAAATAATCGATGACTAATTAGATAATAGATTGACTAATTAGATAAGCTATGAACTAATTAGATTATTGATGGACTAATTTAATCATCAGTGGATTCAATAGACAACCAATAGACTATATAGATAAACTATGGACTAATTAGATAATCAATGAACTAATTAGATGATTGATTGACTAATTAGATAATCGATGGACCAATACAATAATGAATGGACTAATAGGATGATCAATGGACCAGTCGGTTACATTCACTAATCTACGGACATTTAAGGTAATCAAAAGATCCAAGGACTAATCAATCAATGAATGGACTAATTAAATAGCCAATGAACAAATCAGATGATCTGTTAAAAACGCATGCTCAAAAACAGATTTCTAGTGTAGTCTAGAATGGCCGAAATACTGCATGACCCGAAGGAGAGGCGTATAAAAAAACTAGCCGTCGGTACCCGTTACACGTGAATTATTGGCTTATATATTTTAAGATTATACTTGTTTGAGAAAAATATGTTATAAAATAGTTATTGCAGTGGCGTAGTCAGGATCTTCTCAAGGTGGGGGGGGGGGGGGGAATTTTTCCATCATATATATATATATATATATATATATATATATATATATATATATATATATATATATATATATATATATATATATATATATATATATATATATATATATATATATATATATATATATATATATATATATATATATATATCTGCCATCCGGTGTTAGAGTCTTGTCGTGGCTTGGCAGCTTGTGTATCCTGACCACCCCCAGAGCTAGACCAGCGGGAGTGTAAACTCCTGGTAGGTTCAACCAAGCTGGGAAGGTCTGCGCGGGTAGGGGTCAGACAAAAGCTAGCACCCCGGTCCTCCAGGTTGGGGGTTGAAACATAAGGCCAGCAACCTTATCTCGTAAAAAAATATACCGCTACAGAAACTGCAAGTACACAAATCCAACACCGACTTGGTCGAGGGGGATCCTCTCTAGAAGAGCCCATGACGCCTACTAGTGAAAGCCTAACGGAAGCTAGTTTGCTGACAAATCTCCTAACGTCAAGACTAAAACCAGATTAGGGACCTGGAACATCAGAACCCTGTATGAAAGCAGCAGATCAGCCCAGGTCGCCAAAGAAATGAGGAGGTATAAATTAAAAGTCCTGGGATTAAGTGAGACACGATGGAATGGCAGTGGTCAAACTAGGTTGGTCTCGGGAGAGACTGTCATCTACTCAGGCCACGAGGACGAAGATCATGAACACACGCAAGGTGTAGCCATAATGATGTCTCCAGAAGCAACAAATGCTTTGATTGCATGGGAACCAGTCTCGCCACAACTCATAGCAGCTCGTTTCAATGCCAAGGGAAGGAAAACAACTTTAATCCAGTGCTATGCACCCACAAACGCTGCAACAGATAAAGAGAAAGAGGACTTCTACAGTGCCCTGCAAGCTCAAATTGACAAATCAACAAAAAGAGATATAAAGATAGTGATGGGAGACATGAATGCCAAAGTTGGAACAGAAAATAAAGATCGTGAGCTCACAATGGGGAAAAATGGAATAGGCACAATAAATGAAAACGGGGAACTCTTTGCTTATTTCTGCGCATTTAATGATCTAATTATAGGGGGGGGGGGGACAATTTTCTCTCATAAAGATATACATAAGACCACCTGGACGTCAGCCCGGTCAACGGAAATTACTCAAAATTAAACAGAAGGTATTGAATTAGATCTTTTACTTACATGGGAAATTTGATTTATCTATCTGAAATAGTACTCAAGTTATAGGCTTTTGAAAAATTCAAAGTAGAAAAAGTACCACTTCCGGTTATCGGAAATCGCTCAAAAGTTGATACGAATCTACGATTTTGATAAAAATATTAATCCCAACAAACCAGTAAAGGATAAAGTAGGAAATATCGTAACAAGTGACACAGAACAGAAAGACAGATGGGTACAGCACTTTGATGAGATTTTAAACCATCCTCTCTCATCAAACATCCCTGATATACCACCTGCAAACCACTTACTAAATGTGTGTACAGATCCACCCACAAAGTTAGAAACAATAAGAGCAATAAAGAACATGAAAAATGGCAAAGCAGCTGGCCCGGACGTCATCACACCAGAGGCAGACCCAGCCATATCAGCAGACATACTACATCCTCTACTTAAGCAGATTTGGGAAGAAGAGATAATCCCATCTGACTGGAAACTGGGGTACCTGATAAAACTGCCAAAGAAGGGAGACCTGACACAATGCAACAACTGGAGAGGGATAATGCTTCTTTTAGTCCCAAGTAAGGTGCTGACAAGAATCATCCTAGAGAGACTTAGAGATGCCTTGGAAAAAAGCTGAGACAAGAACAAGCTGGTTTTCGTCAAGACAGGTCATATACTGACCACATTGCCACGCTGCGCATCATTATCGAACAGTCCCTTGAGTGGCAATCCCCCTTATACATGACTTTTGTCGACTTTGAAAAGGCGTTTGATAGTGTGAATAGAAATGCTATCTGGAAGTTAATGAGCCACTATGGAATACCCAAAAAATGTATATCTATCGCACAGAAATGATATGAAGACTCCACCAGTCAGGTAATACACAAGGGAAAACTAACAAAACCATTCACGGTGACGACGGGAGTAAGACAGGGATGTATGCTATCGCCAATGATATTCTTGATAGTACTCGGCTGGATCGTGCTGAAAACCACAAAAAACGACACAGGAATCCAGTGGAGTTTCACCAAAGCTGGACTAAAAATCAATAAAAATAAAACAGAGGTCATCAGAATCAATAACAGCTAAATGGAGAAGATTTACGTGAAACAAACACATTCACATATCTGGGAAGCGTGATCAATAAGGACGGGGGAGCAGACGAGGACATACAATGCCGTATCAACAAGGCGAGATGTGCCTTTAACTCACTGCGCCCGATGTGGAGGTCCACGGCCCTGTCACTCCAGAGCAAAATTGGGATCAAAATTGGGATTTTCAACTCAAATGTCAAAGCAGTGCTGCTCCATAGCTCGGAGACTTGGAGGGTCACGAAGACAAATACTGATAAGCTACAGGCATTCGTAAACAAATGCTTACGACATCTACTTAAAATAAGATGGCCAGAAAAAATATCAAACAAAGACCTGTGGCGAACTTTAAAGCAACAGCCAATAGAGACAGATGTCAAGGCCCGAAAATGGGGATGGATCGGACACACATTAAGAAAGGAAAAAGAAAACATCGCAAGGCATGCTTTAGAATGGAATCCCCAGGGAAAAAGGAGGATGGGCCGGCCAAGGAAGAAGGGGCAACTAAACTATGGGAGGTGGCGTTATAATAAATGTCAGAGGGGTGACAACTAAACTATGGGAGGTGGCGTTATAATAAATGTCAGAGGGGGCAACTAAACTATGTGAGGTGGCGTTATAATAAATGTCACAGGGGGCAACTAAATTATGGGAGGTGGTGTTATAATAAATGTCAGAGTGGTGACCAACTAAACTATAGGAGGGGGCGTTATAATAAATGTCAGAGGGGGCAACTAAACTATGGGAGGTGGTGTTATAATAAATGTCAGAAGGGGCAACTAAACTATGGGAGGTGGCGTTATAATAAATGTCAGAGTTTTCAACTAAACTATGGGAGGTGGCGTTATAATAAATGTCAGAGGGGGCAACTAAACTGTAGGAGGTGGTGTTATAATAAATGTCAGAGGGGTGACAACTAAACTATGTGAGGTGGCGTTATAATAAATGTCACAGGGGGCAACTAAATTATGGGAGGTGGTGTTATAATAAATGTCAGAGGGGTGACAACTAAACTATAGGAGGTGGCGTTATAATAAATGTCAGAGGGGTGACAACTAAACTATGGGAGGTGGCGTTATAATAAATGTCAGAGGGGGCAACTAAACTATAGGAGGTGGCGTTATAATAAATGTCAGAGGGGTGACAACTAAACTATGTGAGGTGGCGTTATAATAAATGTCACAGGGGGCAACTAAATTATGGGAGGTGCTGTTATAATAAATGTCAGAGGGGGCAACTAAACTATGGGAGGTGGTGTTATAATAAATGTCAGAGGTTGCATCTAAACTATGGGAGGTGGTGTTATAATAAATGTCAGAGTGGTGACAACTAAACTATGTGAGGTGGCGTTATAATAAATGTCAGAGGGGGCAACTAAACTATGGGAGGTGGTGTTATAATAAATGTCAGAGGTTGCAACTAAACTATGAGAGGTGGCGTTATAATAAATGTCACAGGGGGGAACTAAATTATGGGAGGTGGTGTTATAATAAATGTCAGAGGGGGCAACTAATCTATGTGAGGTGGTGTTATAATAAATGTCAGAGGGGTGACAACTAAACTATGGGAGGTGGTGTTATAATAAATGTCAGAGGGGTGACAACTAAACTATGGGAGGTGGCGTTATAATAAATGTCAGAGGGGTGACAACTAAACTATGTGAGGTGGTGTTATAATAAATGTCAGAGGGGGCAACTAAACTATGAAAGTGGCATTATAATAAATGTCAGAGGTTGCAACTAAACTATGGGAGGTGGTGTTATAATAAATGTCAGAGGGGTGACAACTAAACTATGGGAGGTGGCGTTATAATAAATGTCACAGGGGGCAACTAAATTATGGGAGGTGGTGTTATAATAAATGTCAGAGGGGGCAACTAAACTATGGGAGGTGGTGTTATAATAAATGTCAGAGGGGTGACAACTAAACTATGGGAGGTGGCGTTATAATAAATGTCACAGGGGGCAACTAAATTATGGGAGGTGGTGTTATAATAAATGTCAGAGGGGCAACTAAACTATGGGAGGTAGTGTTATAATAAATGTCAGAGGGGGCAACTAAACTATGGGAGGTGGTGTTATAATAAATGTCAGAGGGGGCAACTAAACTATAGGAGGTGGTGTTATAATAAATGTCAGAGGGGGTGACAACTAAACTATGGGAGGTGGCGTTATAATAAATGTCACAGGGGGCAACTAAATTATGGGAGGTGGTGTTATAATAAATGTCAGAGGGGGCAACTAAACTATGGGAGGTGGTGTTATAATAAATGTCAGAGGGGGCAACTAAACTATAGGAGGTGGTGTTATAATAAATGTCAGAGGGGCAACTAAACTATGGGAGGTGGCGTTATAAAGGTTGTGTTATAGTAAATGTCAGAGGTTTCAACTAAAGTATGGGAGGTGGTGTTATATTAAATATAAGAAAGAGGGCAACTAAACTAAGTGGTAGGGGTGGCGTTATAATACATAGATATTTATCATGATTTGTGCCTTGGGAGCCAGAATGTTGACAACGCACTTTTGTATTTTAAAAGACAGAACTGAAATTAGGCCTTCTCGGGTTTGAAAAGCTTTAACTGTAAATTGTAATAGAAATCGATAGAAATAATCAATGCCGAGCGAGCTCAGTAAATAGTTTAGACAGAAAAACAAAATCAACGGCTTTGAAGAGATAAGGGTGGCTGGTAGGCTGAGGTATGAGTTTTTGTGACGATGTGTGACGGATGGGGGGGGGGGGGGGTCTGACTGACGATGTGTGATGGAGGGGGGGGGGGCCTCAGACTTTTTGTGACGATACGGAGAGTAGCGATGACCAAAACGTCATAAGAGGCGTGACGTCATGTATGACTTAGCCCTGCCATGCGCCCGAGGGTCAGTCATGTCCTCGCCCTACATAGCTATCGGTAACCAATTGTTTCCTGTGAAGCAAAAGGGAGGGAAAAATGTGTTTACCACTTGGCCTAAAATAAACTTTAAAATTATTAATTTTAATTATCCTGAGCTGCCGAACACAGTTCTCTAACTAGATAAAGCGATATTCAATAATCCAATTTACCTTTTCTACTTATCGTTCAGACACTCACTCCCCCCCCCCCCACCCCCACTCTCCTATAAAACATATTCTACCAACTCTTACAATCACACAGTATGCCACTAACACTTACAATCACACAGTATGACACTAACACTTACAATCACACAGTATGCCACTAACACTTACAATCACACAGTATGACACTAACACTTACAATCACACAGTATGACACTAACACTTACAATCACACAGTATGCCACTAACACTTACAATCACACAGTATGCCACTAACTCTTACAATCACACAGTATGCCACTAACACAATCACACAGTATGCCACTAACTCTTACAATCACACAGTATGCCACTAACACTTACAATCACACAGTATGCCACTAACTCTTACAATCATACAATATGCCACTAACACAATCACACAGTATGCCACTAACTCTTACAATCATACAGTATGCCACTAACACAATCACACAGTATGACACTAACACTTACAATCACACAGTATGCCACTAACACTTACAATCACACAGTATGCCACTAACTCTTACAATCATACAGTATGCCACTAACACAATCACACAGTATGCCACTAACACTTACAATCACACAGTATGCCACTAACACTTACAATCACACAGTATGCCACTAACACTTACAATCACACAGTATGCCACTAACTCTTACAATCATACAGTATGCCACTAACACAATCACACAGTATGCCACTAACACTTACAATCACACAGTATGACACTAACACTTACAATCACACAGTATGACACTAACACTTACAATCACACAGTATGACACTAACACAATCACACAGTATGCCACTAACACTGACAATCACACAGTATGTCACTAACAATTAAAATGACACAAATTGCCTCTTACACTTACAATCATATAGATTAGAAAAAGTTGATTCGAATATAGATTCAATCATTTTCTTTAGAAAACGTTGATTCGAATATAGATTTAACCATTTCCTTTAACAAACGTTGATTCAAGTATACCTTGAACAATTTCCTTTACAAAACGTTGATTCGAGTATAGATTCAACCATTTCCTTTACAAAATGTTGATTCAAATCTATATTCAATCTTTATTTTTAGAAACCGTAGATGCAATGCTAGATTTAGCAGATTTTGCGTGAATTTGAAATGATTGTTAATAGATTTTCTGTCTAGAACATACATACGTCTTTTCGTGTTTATTGGAGAAGTTAATGAACCTATCTTGGTTTGTTGAAAAAATCAATGAGGTTTTAGCATTAAGCTTACATTTAAATGTGGGATTAAACAGTGACCCCATCGAATCCCAGACTGACCCCTATACCCCAGACCCCTCTCACCCAGATGTACGATAACACCACGTGTAGGCCTACAAGTTTAAAATGTCATTTTGTATATTACAAGTCACGTGATGTATTCGATCATGACAGGTCACGTGATGTATTCGATCATGACAAGTTACTCCATATTTTGTAATG